CAAGTGCAACAAGGAAAAGTTACATCTTGCAACCACACGCTGTGTACTTAATAAAATTGTTAACTTTTATTTAAAGATTGCCTCAGCTCCGTCTATTCTGAGTCCAAAGTGCAATTTCTCACAATATTACAACTTACCTCACGTGGTGGCAGAAACGTAGGGAAAAGTAACCAAATAAATCTACATTCTTCTCTCCAGTCACGCTACAGTATATACAGTGTAATTATTACTAAGTTATTACTTTCTTAATAAAGGAGGAGGTGCAATTGAACAGCCTCCCTTCTAACTTGATGGTAAATTTGGTTCCTAATCGGCAACCTCCATTGCAAGTCGGCTAAGTCTTTTTAAAATTGGGAACTGGGGAAAAATCTCCTGAATACTGGTTCCTTTCAAATTGGTGGCAACAATAAATCATCCCCCAGCTCCCCTGCTTCTTTTCAAATTGGTGGCAGACGACGGGATACGATTAACAACTGATTGAGTGCCTTAAGACTACTTTGAGAATAATTTGTGAGGTAAAAGTTATTGAAATATGGCTACCAGATGACAGAAAAAACTTGTTGAGGAAACAATGGGAGACCAAGAAGGAAGTTTGGGCTCTGAAGCAGAAACAGAGCCAGTGTCTGTGTCAGAAATGGCACAGACTAGAGATGAAACGATTGGAAATAGAGGCAAAACAAAGGGAAAGAGAGTTTGAGGAAAGACAAAAAGAGAGAGAACAGGAGATAGAATTGAGGAGAATGGAAATTGAACTGCAAAAGCAAAAAATTAGCCCACCACCCCCCCTCACTTCCTCTGAGGATGCTTGCCATAGATGCAGGCGAAACGTCAGGAGAAATGCCTCTAGAACATGGCCCTATAGCTCGAAAAAACCTACAAGAACCTAGTATTTCCTAAATTTACTAAGGATGACGATATAGAGAAGTTTCTAACCTTGTTTGAGCGATGTTGTAAAGATTTTGGAGTTGCTGAGGAAAAATGGATGACGTACTTAAGGCCTCAAATAAGTGGAAAGCTCTTAGAAATATATGGAGAAATGCCTGAGGAGTCCTATGGGGATTATGATTTATTTAAGAGACAGGTTCAACAGAAATTTCAATTAACACCTGAATTTTACAGATTCAAGTTCAGGACTCTGAAAAGAGATAAGAACCAAAGTTTCGCTCAGGTGGCCTCTAGATTGTCTCAACTGTTCGATAGTTGGCTAAGGACGTCTGAGGTGGAAAATTACCAACAACTGAGAGAACTTTTAAAATTGGAACAATTTTTCCAATTGATACCTTCCGATTTTCGGTGGCTGGTACAGGATCGAAAGCCATCCACTGTAGTAGAGGCAGCGGTTATGGTAGATCAATTAATTACCCTAAAAGAAGGATTCAAAAGGGAAGATCTGCCAAATGATAAAAGGACAAACAGGCAGCCATTTTACCAACATCAAACGCGCCCACAACAAGGAAAAGGTCCTGCAATAGAAAACCCCTCCTGGAGGAGGCAGAGTGTAACAAGTCAAACTGCTCCTGAGGGAAAAATTAGGTGTTTTCAGTGTGGAAAGTGGGATCATATAAGGTATCAATGTCCCCTTTTAAGAAAAGAAAAGACAACCCTCTTCGTTAATAAAGTAAAAGAAACAAAGAAAACAGAACCAAATACTGTGTCAAAGGAGAGTTCGGAAACGGTGCCTCAAGAGAAACAATGTTTGTTCATTTTGTCAAACACCGCAACTGAGGATTACTTAGAATCCATTTCCATTGACAACAAAGACATGAGAGGGTGGCGGGACACAGGATCTGATGTGTGTATTATACATCCAGATATAATACCTCAGAAATTTCAGCATCCTACCTCTGAAATAAGATTA